CCTTTTTGTCAATTGTTGAAGCCGTTGTCATTTTGCTGGACAGAGTGTGGGCCCCTTTTTTCCCATGCATTATATATTCATTGGAATTGTTACGGACATTGTCCATTTCCTGGGGGCAGGAGTTATGGCAAATGGAGCATTTCCATCGTCATTTCAGTATTTATATTGTCTCAAAGTGGTGAATCCCCCTTTTTCCAGAAAGGCAAGAGGTCGATTCAAATGTTTTTGACACATTTCAGGCATCATGAATGTAAAGTGAGGATTTGCTGTTTGGGAAATATGATTTCAGTGCTTGTTGAATGTCTGGGAGTCACAGAAATGTCTGGGCACAAGATTTAGAAGCAAGAGAGAAATTCAGAGGTCAGTTTGGGTGGGGAGCTCTAGTCTTTACCAGCTCCTCTCAGAAGGATTGTTTTAAGAATCCTCCTAAATGTTAGGAGCTAGGATCTAAAGTTGGTAGGAAGCTTTCTCTTCTCATAACTTAAAAACAAGGTAAGACTTCAGTTGTGCCAGGAAATTGGGATGTTCCTAGAATGGGATTGCTCCTCACAAAACTGTACATAAAAGGCAGGTGAAAGGAGACACCGGGGTCTCCCCATTGGGGACTGCCCCATCTCTGGACCTTCCCCCAGGTGTTCTTTAGAGGGAGATAGTGTCCCCCCCCCGATTCAGAGGGGGACATTGCTGGCTGTTCCCCTTTGTCAGGGAGTGAGGGGAAAGTGCACAGTTGGCTGCATTCCCCACTCTGGCTGGGGAGTACAAAGGGCAGATGTACCTGGACCTGGACCAGCCCCAGCTGGGGACATGCGCCCTTCCCTCTGTTTTACTGGCTGGAGCTGGAGCAGCCATGGAGAGATGCTTCCCACTTAGCACCAAGCTCCTGCAGTGAGAGAGCGCTGGGTTAGTCCTCCCCTCCCCAGCATCCTGAACCCCTCGTCCCCAGGTCCAGTATTTAAATGAAGAAAAACAAGAATTAGTTGAATTAAGGCCCTGAGCCAGGCCGGGAAAATCTTCTAGTTTGTTTGTAAATGAAAGCAGGGAGTCGTGGGAACAAGCAAGCACCTGGCTGCAATATTGGTACACTGGCCCGCCCTGCCCACAATAAGGCCTGAAGTTCTCTCTCACTTCTTATCCTCTGCAGAGATTACCAGCAGAGGCCCCTTCCAAAGCCCTCAAAGTCAGTGAGAATCTCTCAGTGGAATCATAGGGGCTTTTGGTCAGACATTGCGTGTGCCAATTGACATGGGGGGCTGTTTGGGGGAAATTACAGTTAAGGGTTAGTGATAATGAAGGGTAATAATAATGAAGGAGAACTGCATAAAACTGAAGCAGAAATGAAAAGACCCAGTGCCAAATCTGACATCTTGACAAGCAATAAAGTAAAAGAAACAGTGAGAGGCAAAAAAAATAAAATAAAATAAAAACAAAATAAAAGAAACTTAACAAAAGGGAAGTGAAATCCAAGTGAAGACAGTGGAACGGAGCATAAACTCTGACAAGTGTAAAAATACAATTTTAAAAAGCCGAAAAGAATGTGAAGAACAGCTCGCCAAAGTCTCTAAAAGTAATAGCGAAAAGGACAGTAGAAGCAGGAAGCCAACTAACCCACCAATGGGGCCACTGAACGATCCAGATGCTAAAGGAGCACTCGAGATAAACGGATCAAACAGATAAATTACCCTGTAATAAGACACCCCACACCAGATGGCATTCACCCCAGAGTTCTGAAGGAACTCAAATATGAATTTGCAGAACTACTAACTATAGTGTCAGCGGGGTGGCTATTTTAGTCTGCACTGGCAAAACCAATGAGAAGTCCTGTGGCACCTTAAAGACAAACACATTTATTGGGGCATAACCTTTTGTGGGCAAAGAGGATGAATCTGATGGGCAGGAATAGTGTCCCTACATTCTGTTCACTCCCTCTGGGGCACCTGGCAGTGGCCACTGTCTGAAAATAGGATCCTGGGCTAGATACTTAGTGTGACCTAGTATGGCCCTTGTTATGTTACTAAGATTCAGATGTTATAATTCTTGGGTGTTTCCTTGGGGTTTCCTGTGCCTGGGACACTTGTACAAAGACACTGAACAAAAGCTACATGTGCTCTTGCCTTTTTCCAACAGTGTGTCACACCTGAGCAAGAAAAACGGCCGTTATTTGAGGAAGGGATTACAGTTAGGACAGACACGGCTGAAAGTTTTGTAGAGGACATAGCTAACGAAAGCAGATGTTGAGATGTTTCGAAGTGGAGTCAATTGCATCTCTGTGATCCCTGTCCACCTCTGCAGGTAAATCCAGCCCAGGAAAGGTACTGGCTTCATGTCAGCTCTGACGCTAGCAGACTTGCCCTCGTCTGGAAATACGGTGGGATCTACATGGACACCGATGTCATCTCCATGAGGCCTATTTTAATGGAAAACTTTGTGGCGGCCGAGGCATCCCAGGTCTCCGGAAGTGCGATTTTTGGCTTTTCTCGCCATCATGGGTTCCTCTGGGATTGCATGGAGGATTTTGTTCAAAATTACAAAGGAGACATTTGGGGATACCAAGGGCCCAGCTTACTAACAAGGAGGCTCAAAGCGTTGTGCACCCTAACCGATTTCCATAACGTAGAGGATATAAACTGTCAAAACATTTCCTTCCTGCATCCTCAGCGTTTCTACCCCATCCCCTACTCGGCTTGGAATCGGTACTTTGAAGTCTGGGAGAAGAGCTTCAACTTCAACAACTCCTATTCCCTGCATCTGTGGAACTACATGAACCGGGAACACAAGCCTGTGGTTGCAGGAAGTAACACCTTAGTGGAAATTCTCTTCAAAACATACTGTCCCACCACGTACAAGGTCCTTATTCAAGGCCCAGAAGGCAGTGTTCCATAGGCAACAAATCAAGACTGAATGACGGCATTAGCAGAACAACGTGACTCTTCCAGCCCTGACAGCCCTGGGACTAAATCAATTGTGCACAACACGGATCTCCTCTGAGTCAGTGACTCCCAGCCCTTTTCTGTCTGTGAGTGACTTGGTAGGAGAGAACCACTCAGAATCCATCTCTTCTCCCAAGGTTCTCCAGGAGTGAATGAAATCAGTAGGCAAGCAAGGGTGTAAATACCATTGTGGATGACTTGACAAGCACCTAAGTGATCTGGGAGCCTGAGTACTAGTGTGAAAGGTCACATTGGCTTTGGGGTCCAAAGCACCTCTGAAAATCAGGGCGACTCAGGAACCAAAGGGCCAGATGTTCACAGCGTTTAATGCCTAGAGATGCCCCTAAGTGTACTAGAAAATCCCATTGGGCATCTGTCCTCCCCCTCAGGTGCCTCAATGCCTTTCAGAATTTGTTCCTTTAGATGTCTTTGGAAATTTTGCCTAGCCGCTTGCTGCGAGTGTCTATAGCACCCTGTGCAATGAGCCTGAGGCTTCGCCCTGCTACTGTAATATTGATGTTCAGTAACTGTGAATACAATAACGCTCCATGAACAACAGCCCACACCTCCCGCACCCTCCAGATGTTCACTACGATTGTTTCAAGTATCAGAGGGGTAGCCGTGTTAGTCTGAATCTGCAAAAGCGACAAGGAGTCCTGTGGCACCTTATAGACTAACTGAAGTGTAGGAGCATAAGCTTTCGTGGGCAAAGACCCACTTCGTCAGATGCACGTCACATGCATCTGACGAAGTGGGTCTTTGCCCACGAAAGCTTATGCTCCTACACTTCAGTTAGTCTAT